CCCCTTTCCCAAACCAGTAAATAAAAACAGGTCAGTTTGGCGAGTGAGGAGTAGGCAGTCCTACCTCCTAGAAGCATTCTCCCTAGCGACAAGTCTTTCCTGAGACCATGCCTGATACGTTAGTACTGTAAAGCTAGTGAAAATGCCATGTGAGCTCCTTCATTTTGCTTCCCCAACTCTTCCAAACACAGTTGGATGCCTCTTTTTGACATTTTACCTACTCACTTGCAACTTGTACAAAGCATTTTATCTTCCTTCCTCAATGGGAATAATGTAATTGTTATTTTTTCTCAAATCATTATGCCCAAATCGTTTTATCTATACTCTTCTGCATATTACATTACCTCTTCCACATTAATATTTTCTTTGGCGCTGGTCTCAAACAATTGGATCTCCATCTGCCCAGCAAATTTATAGGCATCTTCTGTTTCCACCACTTTTCGCTCTGGGTCATCATTCTTATTCCCCACTGAAAAAGGAAAGAAAAAAAAAAACAGTCAGTTTGGTACTTCAGCAGATCAGCCCACTAAATAAGCCACTGTCAAACTCTCTGATCAGAAACGTACCTAGTATCCGGCAGACATCATCACAATTTTGATTAATTTCATGCAACCACCGTTTTACATTCACAAAAGATTCTGCACTGGTTACATCGTAGACAACAATGACCCCATGTGTTCCTCTGTAATACCTATAGAGGAGGAAAAGACAATAAATGTTAATCCAAGCTACATATCCCCTTCTCAGCTCTTTCTCTTTCACTTAGCTTCTACAAGACTCATAACAAATCCCCAAGTCACGGCAATCAAGTGCCTCCATTTTCTTTCCACTGGGAGTCATTTAATTCTTTTACGACAGCTAGACCACATGCTATCCCTCTAAACCTACGGAGTTCCCTGCTCATTTAGGCTATACAAGTAGGTTTCAAAGTCCAAAGAGGGCTGTTTACTTCCTTTTTCAGGCTGGCAAGACCTTCAAAGACGAATACTGCCTTCCAGCTACGCGAGGAAAAGGTAGTGGTGCCCCCAGTACGTCCTCAGAACTGGCTGTGATGTGAACCTTCGTGTTGTACAGGCCACATCAAGTTTTTGCAGCAATTTTGTTATTGGTGAAAGATCACTTACAGACTCAAATTTCAACAGATCTCCAAATATACCCAACCCTCAGTCACAGTTCTCTTGAGCTCACAAAAATTTCTGTCCTGTTGAGCGACTGTGTTCTGCTCGCACCTTCCTACTCAACAGATCGACTCCATATGTGCTTTCAACACACTCTATTACCTTTAGCCATTAAAAATAAGCTTCATTTCAGTTTATTCCCATTAGTCTTGAGCAATCAGCACCTTTAAAAGATGATGAGCAATTCTGATATGCAAGAAAAATATTTGAATTCAAGTTCTAACACTATCACCTGCATGAACCTACTAAAGGCAGACAGTATGTGCACCATGAGAATGCTATACAGAAAAAAAAAAAGCAAGCTCCACCTTCTCAGTTTTCAGCCACATTCACAGGGCTATCAGGTATTTTCCCTACTGCAAATTAGGCAGCTTTGACAAAAAAGAAATATAACTGAAAACAGTTGACAGCGAGGTTTGCACTGGCATCCAGTTTTTATATTTTGTGTAGCTTTATTCTTTCCCTTTCATTTCCTCCTC